AAAAATAGACACCTCATTGAAACTGCTCGCACTCTTCTTTTACATAGCCACGTCCCTTTTCGTTTTTGGGCTAATGCTGTTCTGACCTCTTGTTACTTAATAAATTGCATGCCTTCTTCTGTCTTACAAGACCAAGTCCCACACTCCATATTATTCCCTGATCATCCATTATTTTCTCTTCCCCCACGTGTCTTTGGGAGCACCTATTTTGTTCACATTTTTTCTCCTGGTTAGGATAAACTGTCAGCCAAGTCTACGAAGTGTATTTTCTTAGGGTATTCACGTCTTTAGAAGGGCTATAAGTGTTATTCTCCCGCCACACATCGCTACTTCATCTCTGCTGATGTTACGTTCTTTGATTCTTCTCCATTTTTTCCTCATCCTACATTAGAGTCTGATCCGATAGTAGATGTTCTACCAATTCCATACATTGCTTTCCCACCTTCGTCTGTTTCGGTACCTCAGTCTACTACTAATACCACTCTTCCTGTCGACAATAGTCTTGTTCCTTTTACAGGTGATCCTGATGTTCCTGTTGTTGTTCCTGAGACCCTTGTCACTGCAGGTCCTGTGCTCGATTCCTCCAATGTCACAGTCTTGTCTCAAGCTAATCAGTTTCCCATTGCTATTCGTAAAGGTATGCGGTCCACACGCAACCCTCATCCCATCTACAATTTTTTGAGTTATCATTGTTTATATCCTTCATATTATGCCTTTGTATCCACCATTTCTTCTGTTTCTATTCCTTGCACTGTTCATGAGGCACTTTCTTACCCCAGGTGGCGTCAGGTAATGGTTGAAGAAATGTCTGTTTTGCATCATAATCATACTTGGGAGTTAGTTTCCTTACCTCCGGGCCATTCGACTGTTGGTTGTCGATGGATTTACATTGTAAAGGTTGGTCCAGATGGTAAGGTTGATCGGCTGAAAGCCTGTTTGGTGGCCAAGGGATATACTTAGATCTATGGTACAGATTATTTTGACACTTTTTCTCCTATTGCTAAGATGTCTTCCGTCCGGTTGTTCTTTGCTATGGCTGCCATTCGACACTGGCCTATGCATCAATTGGATATTAAGAATGCTTTTCTTCATGGTGAACTTCAGGAAGATATTTATATGAAGCAACCTCCTGGTTTTGTTGCTTAGGGGGGGTCTGGTTTGGTATGTAAACTTTGTCGTTCTCTATATGGCCTAAAACAGTCTCTTCGTGCTTGGTTTGGACAATTTAGTACAGTTATCCAAGAGTTTGGTATGATTCGATGTGAGTCTGATCACTCTGTTTTCTATAGACATACATCACCAGGGCAATGTATCTATCTGGTTGTCTATGTCAATGATATTGTTATTACAGGAAGTGATCAACATGGCATTGGACAATTGAAGCAACACTTGTTCAAACACTTTCAGACGAAAGACTTAGGGCTACTCAAATACTTTCTTGGCATAAAAGTCGCTCAATCCAAATCTGGTATTGTTATTTCTCAGAGGAAGTATGCATTGGATATTCTAGAGGAAACAAGGATGTCAGATTGCAGACCAATAGACTCTCCTATGGATCCTAATTTAAAACTTTAACATGGAAAGGGGGAGCCTCTTACTGATCTTGGAAGGTATCGAAGACTTGTTGGAAAACTTAACTATCTTACTATCACACAACCTGATATTTCCTTTTCTGTCAATGTTGTAAGTCAGTTCCTTCAAAATCCATGTGATAGTCATTGGGATGTAGTTGTCCGGATTTTAAGGTATATGAAGAAAGCACCAAGTAGAGGCTTACTGTATGAAAATAAGGGCCATTCACATATTGTCGGATATTCAGATGCTAATTGGGCAGGTTCTCCATCTAATAGACGTTCTACCTCAGGTTTTTGTGTTCTTGTTGGAGGAAACCTAGTTTAATGGAAAAGTAAGAAACAAGTGGTTGTTGCAAGGTCAAGTGTTGAAGCAGAGTATCGTGCAATGGCCTTAGCCACTTGTGAGCTTGTTTGGTTAAAACAACTAATTCAAGAGTTGAAATTCGTCGAAGTATCACAAATGAAGTTACTCTGTGATAATCAGGCTGCCCTTTATATTGCTTCAAATCCAGTGTTTCATGAGAGGACTAAACCTATAGAAATTGATTGTCACTTTGTTCGAGACAAAGTTCTATCAGGGTGTATTGCAACTAGTTATGTCAGTTGCAACGACCAGTTAGCAAACATCCTCACCAAGTCTCTCAAGGGTTCTCGTGTTGATTTTATTTGTAACAAGCTTGGTGCATATGACTTATATGCTTCAACTTGAGGGGGAGTGTTGAAGTGTAAAATAGGGAATAGGATTATTCTCATTAAAGACTATCTTCTATATTAGGTTAGGATCAAAGCTATTAAGAATTAGATGAGTTATAATAAGAATGTAACAATTTACTTCCTAGATTAGTCTTTTCTTTTTGCTATAAATTCATTGTACATTGCATTGTGAAATAATAAGTAAAACAAAGTATTTCTTCACATATGCATATATATGCTATATGTTGGATTTTTGCACCGGTGAACTTTTAGATAGCAGTGAAGTTTTTGTATTTGGCTGTGGGCACAGGCATAGCCTCACTTCTACGTAAGTGCAAATCATCGTTTGTCTTTTATTTTATTTTTGCAAATTGGAAGCTTTTTCTGATAAAATTATTGTGTACTGCAGAGGTGTCATGTTGGATGGTAACTGGAGAAAGACAGGCTGCTAGAATTCGAGGTTTGTACTTGAAAACAATATTGAGACAAGACATAGCCTTCTTTAACACTGAAACATCAACAGGAGAAGTCATTGGAAGAATGTCTGGAGATACAATCCTTATTCAAGAAGCCATGGGAGAAAAGGTAAAACGATAAACATTGAGAACAATTATATAATCGATTATCTATATTTCATACTTGATTGAAACCCTTTTGTTTTCTTGCTCTGTTGAATGTGATCCTAATGGAGAAGTTTGTAACAGGTGGGGAAGTTTATACAACTTATCTCAACATTTTTGGGAGGCTTTGTAATTGCCTTTATAATAGGATGGCTTCTAGCACTAGTTTTGCTTTCATGCATTCCTGCTGTAGTAATTGTTGGTGGAATCATGTCAATGATGCTGACAAAAATGTCAAGCAGTGGACAAATTGCGTATGCAGTTGCAGGAAATGTTGTAGAGCAAACAGTTGGAGCCATTAGAACAGTAAGACAATGATGTTATGTTATGTAACTTGATTTATATATGTATGATAACCTTCATACTTTCTTTTTGAATTGTACCAGGTTGCATCCTTCACCGGGGAAAAGCAAGCGATAGAAAAGTATAACAGCAAGCTCCAACTTGCCTATGCTGCCACCAATCGACAAGGGCTTGCCTCAGGCGTAGCTCTTGGCACACAAATGCTCCTTATGTTTGGCACTTATGCACTTGCCATGTGGTATGGCTCCAAATTGATCATTGAGAAAGGATATAACGGAGGAACTAACATTAGTGTTCTAATGGCAATCTTGCTTGGAGGAATGTAAGTGATTATGACATTTGATTCTGTACTTATAATGCTATATGTTGCTACTATTGAAGTTAAATTTATCTCACATCACCAAGTTGATGGACTATTATAGTGTATATATGTAGTTGGGTTCCCTCCTCTCTTGAGCTAACTTTTGGGAGTGAGCCCAAGCCCACTTTATTATGGTATAGAGCCGTTGGAGGGAGGATATTGAAGTTGAATTTGTCCCATATTATCAAGTTAGTGAGCTGTTATAATGTATATATATGATTGGACTCCCTCCCCCCTTGAACTAGCTTTTGGGAGTGAGTTCCATGAGTTCTAAGCAAACCCATTTTATCAGCTACAACAATTAATAAACTATCCGACAAAAACTTTCAAACATTGAAGCATATCTATCATTTTTGTACCTGACTGTTAACTCAATCTAAACACCTGTCATGGTTTTTTGCTTTAGGTCATTGGGTCAGACATCACTAAGTATGAATGCATTTGCAGCAGGGCAAGCTGCTGCATATAAGATGTTTGAAACAATAAAACGCAAACCAAGCATTGATGCTTATGACACTAGTCGGATAACACTAGAAAACATTAAGGGCAAAATTGAACTGAAAGATGTTTATTTCAGATACCCTGGTAGACCTGAAGTGCAGATCTTTTCAGGCTCCTCGTTGCATGTTCGAAGTAGTACAACAACAGCTTTAGTCGGGCAAAGTGGAAATGGCAAGTCAACAGTCATCAGCCTCGTGGAGAGATTCTATGATCCTGATTCTGGTGAAGTACTTATAGATGGTGTTGATTTAAGGGAGCTGTCGCTCAGATGGATAAGAGAGAAGATCGGTCTAATTAGTCAGGAACCTATTCTATTTGCAACCAGTATAAAGGAGAACATAGCATATGGGAAAGAAAATGCAACTAATCAAGAGATTAGAACTGCAATTGAGCTTGCTAATGCTGCAAAATTTATTGACAAGCTTCCCCAGGTAAAGCCTCCTGTAAAAACTAGTTATAAAAATTACCACCAGTTTGCTTGAGCTACGTTCACCACTAGCCACCTTATAGCATATTAATCAAGGCTTTTTTTTCTTTTTTTTTTTTTTTTAATTCAAATAAGTAATTGACATGATAGCATTTTTTCAATAGAGGCTTGACACAATGGTAGGTGAGCATGGAACTCAGCTATCTAGTGGACAAAATCAAAGAATTGCAATTGCAAGGGCCATATTAAAGAATCCGAGAATTCTTCTTGTTGACGAGCCTACAAGTGCGCTGGATGCGGAGTCTGAACGCATTGTCCAAGATGCACTGGAGACAGTTATGACAAATCGGACAACTGTGGTTGTTGCACATCGCTTGACAACTATCAGAAATGATGACATGACCGCTGTGGTGCATCAGGGGAGAATCGTGGAGAAAGGTAGCAACAATAAACCTGTTTTTCATTTTTAGATTTCCAAAACTCTCACCCTGCTTCTGCAGTTTCTAAAATTTGATTTCTAGGAACTCATGAGGAGTTGATCCAAGATCCTAAGGGAGGTTACTCTGGGTTGGTTCGCCTGCAAGAAGGAGCTAAAGAAGGTGTAGATGCTCAAACCACTGATGCAGATAAGTCAGATACCAGTTTTGATAACATGGAAAAGATCATGACAGGGTCTAGGAGCCACAGAGTATCTACAAGAACATCGATGAGTGGAGGTTCATCAAGTAGAAGATCAGGGAGTGGAGGTTCATCAGGTAGCCGACACTCCTTCAGTTTCAGCTATAATTTTCCTGGCACTATTACTTTGTATGAGACTAATGAAGATGGGGAGGTGAGAGCTGAAAGATCTGCAATGGGAATGAGAAGCGACAGAAAGTTTCAATCAGGAGACTGGCCTATCTGAACAAACCTGAGATTCCAGTTTTGTTGATTGGATCACTAGGTGCCGTGTACATGGTTTAATATTTCCTGCATTTGGTCTCTTGCTCTCATCATCCATTAGAATTTTCTATGAACCGTCAAATCAACTACAGAAAGATTCCAGGTTTTGGGCACTTATGTACTTGAGTTTGGGCTTTACTACTGTAGTAGCTATACCGTTACAAAATTACTTCTTTGGAGTTGCTGGAGGTAAACTGATTCAATTAATTTGTTCCTTGACATTGGAGAAAGTTGTGCACCAGCAAATCAGTTGGTTTGATGACTCTGCAAATTCAAGGTGATTTAAACAATAGTAACTTTCATATCATCCGAAATACAATTATGCTTCTCTAACTATGCCTTTTACCCTCAATTTTCAGTGGTGCGATTGGCGCACGGTTATCAACTGATGCTTCTACCGTTCGAAGTCTAGTTGGTGATACCTTGGCCTTAATTGTCCAGAACATAGCAACAATCACAGAAGGGCTAGTCATAGCCCTTACCGCTAACTGGATATTAGCTTTTATAATTTTAGCAGTGTCTCCAGTGATGTTAATTCAAAGATACTTTCAAACAAAGTTTCTGAAGGACTTCAGTGCAAACGCAAAGGTTGGTGTTTTCTTGGGTGTTCTGTACTGTGTGTAATGAGTGAATTATGCTTATAGTCTTACATATACATGCAGCTGATGTATGAGGAAGCGAGTCAAGTGGCTAATGATGCTGTTGGCAGCATTAGAACTGTTGCCTCATTCTGCACAGAAAAGGTGATGGACTTGTACCAAAAGAAATGCGATGCCCCCATGAAACAAGGAGCCCGTCTAGGGCTTGTAAGTGGTGGAGGTTTTGGCTTTTCTTACTTTGCTCTCCACTGCTCAAATGCATTCTGCTTCTACATTGGATCAATAGTTGTGCACCATGGAAAAGCAACATTCGGAGAAGTTTTCAAGGTTGAAGTTTTAGCTATTTGTTGTTTCTCTTTTTTCACCCTTACAGGAATTCATTTGAGTTGTTAATCTGATTTAGATTGGTTTTTGCAGGTTTTCTTTGCATTGACAATTGCAGCCAACTGTGTCTCGGAAACCACTGGCTTGGCTCCAAACACCAACAAAGCTAAGGATTCAGTAACTTCAATATATGAAATTCTTGACAACAATCCTAAAATTAACTCGAGCAGCAATGAAGGAATGACACTAACAAGTATACGAGGTGATATTTTATTTGAACATGTCAGTTTCAAATTGTTGAAGATTGGTGCTGTGCTGGAAGTAAGATTTGCTGTAAGTTGAAGCTGTTTTGCTGCTGTGGATGGACGTGCATGGTGCTTTTCTGAAGTTCAGTAGCTTAAGTCCTTCTGTATATTTTAGTGTTAATTTTGAATTAGTTGACTCAGCTTATTTTTGTAATGAAGTTGTTTGAAGTTGTTAGAAGTGAGTGGTTTAGCTGAGATTAAGTGAAAGTTCTGACAGTAGTTGGAACATTGAACAACAGCATGTTATATTCAGTTTTCTGTCTAATGAAAAGTAGTCCAGTTTTTATTCATTCTCTCTCTTTTCTTTGGACAACCGGCATTTACAAAACACTAACACAAATATCCAACAAGGCCAGATGTTCAAATTTTCCGAGACCTGTGCTTGAGCATCCCTTCTGGAAAGGTATTCTTTTTCAGCATCACACACATATATTGAACATTTAGTTTGACACATTATCAGTCATTTTCTAAGCTCTGGTATTCTCTGTGCAGACTTTAGCTCTTGTTGGAGAGAGTGGTAGTGGAACTGTAATAAGCCTTATAGAGAGATTTTATGATCCTGATTCTGGCCATATATTCTTTGACAATGTAGATATAAAAAAAGTTCAAAATAAGTTGGTTGAGGTAACAGATGGGCTTAGCGAGTCAAAAGCCAATACTCTTCAATGAAACCCTCCGCGTGAACATAGCCGACGGCAAACATGGAGATGCTACTGAAGACGAGATCATTGCAGCAACAAAAGCAGCAAATGCACACAACTTCATAGCTGCATTGCCAAATGGCGATGACACCAATGTAGGCGAGCGAGGAGGGCAGAAGCAAAGGATTGCATAGCAAGGGCTATACTTAAGAATCCGAAAATTCTTCTCCTTGATGAGGCGACAAGTGCACTAGACGCAGAGTCGAAACGAATAGTTCAAAATGCATTAGACAGTGTGATGGTGAATAGAACAACTGTAATTGTTGCTCATCGCCTCACCACAATAAAAAATGCAGACATAATAGCTGTAGTGAAGAATGGTGCGATCGCAGAGGAAGGACGACACCAGGTGCTGATGAAAATCACTGACGGGGCTTTTGCGTCCTCAGTTGCCCTTCACATGACCGCTGTATAAGACTATGAAGAAATTCCATTGACTAGTTGAAGGTATGGCCTCACCAGTTCAGGTGCCATTTTCCTGGAACTAAAATTTTATTCACATAGGATACAGTTTTAGCTAAAGATATCTCTACAAACTGCCTTAATTATGTCTAAGGGAGCAACTGGAAAGATGGCGGTGGGTCATGCCGTGCTTAAAAATTAAAGGCTTGTCGTGCCGTGCCTAAAAATTCAAGGCCCACCGTGTCGTGGGTCGTGCCATGCCTAGGCCTGCATAGTTTCGTGCCTTGTCGTATCGTGTCAGCCCACAAAATTTGAAGGCCTACAGCACGGCCTGTTATATATCGTGTCGTGCCTTGGGCAAGCTCATGTGCTTTGTAAAAATATTTTATTTTAATATTTATAAATGTTTAATACTACACTTACAAAGAAATTTTACAAAGATCTTCATACAAAATTATGTGACAAACAATAAATGAAAGAATGAATTTAATAAGTTTGACTTTTTGTTTCACTCTTCCATTCATTTTTTGCCACCTCACTTTATATGAAAAGCATTGTAAGTATAGTATTATTGTTTATAAATTATGGTAATTTTGATTTATTATTAATAATTATTATAAAAATATTTTATATGTTATATTTAGTGACATTTTGTATTTATATTAATTAAAAATATATAATCACTATGAAATATAATAAAATAATGAGACATTGAAATATTAATTGAATTTTAACACTTTTTATTAGTTATAAGTTATAATTATAAATTACAAATGCTAACGTAGCAATTAGAATTAAAAATTAGTATACATCTTCATTTTCATTAATTTCTAAATTCTTAAGCTTCGTTTGGTTCACTATTTTGATATTTTTTATAATAGTATTTTAGAAAATGTAAAATTGGGTTATCTTTACGAGAAATGTAATTATTAATATTTTTAGAGTTAAATAAAGTAGAATTAAATTTTGAGAATATTCAAACAAATGCGTTTTTAGGTTTTTAGGATAGAATAGTAGAATAGGATAAGGTAATAATAGTGAACCAAAGGGGCCCTTAAAATCTTCAAATATATCTTCAGTAACACGATTTTGAAGTTTGAAATCTGCAGTCATTCAATCTTTCATACACATAATGGCTTCAGCAACACAATTTTAAGTTTAAAATAATCGTTACCCCCTGTGCAGGGGGGTAACAGTTATTTTAAAATAGCCGTTACCCCCTTGCATAGGTGGGTAACGACTATTTTAAAAAATAGCTATTAATTTTATTTTTTATTTTTTTCGTGTCGTGCCATGTCGACCCACCAGCTTTTTTAAGGCCCACAGCATGACCCGCATATTTTCATGTCATGTTATGCCATGCTTTTTTTCGTGTCGTGTCATGCTTTTTTCGTGCCGTGTCAGCCCACCGCCGGCTTTGGAGCAAACACATTGATCTAGCTCTTTTCATAATACAAGGCAGCCAGTAACAAAGAGTAAATGTGAGACTTAATGAGTTTCCATTTATAAATTTTGATATATTAGATAGATAAGTGAACCCTCATTTGTAGTGAAAACTGAAAAGGGTTCCCATTCTAATATTAAATAGTATAATATTGTAAAATAAACGTACTTAATATATTAATTTCACATGTTATAATGTACCAAACATGCTCTAATATCGAATTATTTTGTATCTTAAAACTGAAATATTAATAAATTAAGATAGTTAATATTATTAATTTTGGCCAAACGCCATCCTCCCACCCGAAGTTTGTCCTAAAGACAATTTCATAACCAAAATGTTTGAAAACGACAAATACCCACCAACTGTTAATTATGTCCATTAAATTGGTAAATTCAAGAACAGTAAAAAAGTAATTATGTCATTTCACCCCTCCACCTCTTCCTTCTCCTCCTACTCCACCACCAATACCACGGGGGAGTTTATTAAAAGACCATTTGAACTTAAAATTTAATTAAAAGACTATAGAGTTTGTAAATTTTAACTAAATGGCCTTGTTTTTTATTAAGCTTAATTAAACATGATTAGGGGGGTAATTGAGATTAATGAATACTTGTGTACTCTTTTAAAAATTATAATAAGTCTCCAAAGAGTAGAAAATCTTGCAAACAAACCCAAACAGTACCTTCTTCTTCCTCCCGCGACATTAACGCATTCCTCCGCCATTAACATCTTCTCCAAGACAGATCATCCTCCTCCTCCTCCTCCTCCTCCTCCTGACATTTTGTCCAGGTATGTCTATTTCCCCTTTCGATGTACAAAGATTTAAATGACGGATTGGGTTTGGGTTATGATTTTGATTTAGTTGTTTAGGTTGTTGGGTGTGTTTGATGTAATGGAAGTTGAAAGGAGTGAAATTTGTTGAAAAATTTCTTGCATTGTGGGTAGCTGGGGGTGGTAGCACCGATTGTAGGTGGAGAGACTGAAAATGTGTTATGTATGATGATCATCGCTTAAGCGATCTAGTACGCTGGTAAATTGATGCGTGTTTCTTACAACATGCAAAACGTAGCAAGTATACTAGTCCACTAAGTAATAAAGTGATGGGTAGGATATCGTTCCCCGAGAGCTGGTAGCAAAGCACTAAGTTTCCTATGGTGTTAACAAGTTGAAGCAACCGAAAATCTTGGATTTGTGGGAGCAATTTGTAATTGAAAGAAAACAAAATAAATCAATAAGTAATTAATCCTTAAAAAGGGAAAACAATTGGAACACAAAGATCAATTTAAGTAAAACGGGTAGGGTTTTGACTTCGTTTGGATTATTTATGGGTTATAACTAAAAGTTACACTATTTTCACATTCACATGCAATGGTTGTAAATCGGATTCACTACTATGATAACAAACCCTCTCGGGCTATGTTTCCTATTCATCATTATTAACATTCCGCACCCACATTTTGAAGGTTAATAATTCTAAATCATGAAGCACAAGAATCCAACTTGATTTCATAATTCTTGAATCTATCCTAGCATCCAATACTATAAGGTTATTACCCTGAAGCTTAACATGAATTATTTCTCATCTCATCATGTTCATCACATACAACAATTAATTTCAGAGTAACACACAACCAAAACTTATTCATATGAAAATAGCATAAACATATATTCACCCATTTCAAATCCAAACTACAATCAAAACCCTAACCCATAGAAGATTAGTTCATAGCTAACTTACAGAATAAAACGGAAATCAAAAGTAAACAAAATAAACATAATGAAACTGAGATGAAGGAATAGAAATCTCCCCAAAAGACAAATCTTCTCTGTTGCATCTGAATGTCCCCTTCACAATCCGAAAAATACAAGCTTTTCTCTCTAAATTGTAAAAGACGGCTAACCTTACTGCCCGAGATCCCTTCTAAAAGTTTTTCTTTTTCTTTTATACCTATCCTAAAAACCCAGTCCAAAACAAACACACACGAAACTGTCGTTTACAAAACTTTATTTTTGACTTTTGCCGCGGCGAAGAATGAAAACCAAAAATCGATTCTGCCTAACTTCGCCGCGGCGAAGACAATTTCTTCGCCGGGCGAAGCTCCTTCAAAAGTTCTGAAATTTACAGAACTGCCACTCTGCTTGCCTCTTCGTCCGATTCTTCGATTTTCGACTCTTCACCTTGGAAACAAGCTTCATCGTGCATTGTCCTACTCCGGAACTCTCTTATCTTCTGAATCCTTCAATTTGAGTCAAAACTGCCAAGTTTTGCCTTTATTTGCTAAAGAGTCCATTTTAACCTGAAACACGAAAGTAGAAGATTACGCACCAATTCAGGTAGAAATGCACTAGAAATAATTGAAATCCGACAAAGAGATCATATAAAAACGTATAATTTACAGATTATCAACTACCCCCAAACTAAAGAGATGCTCGTCCCCGAGAATACAACAAACTAACAAAAACAAAGACAATACGAAAAACAAAAATACGTAAACATGCACAAAAACTGAAAAACCAAAATAAAACGAATTCAAATTCTACAACGAATTGCCTAATATTGCACATATCTCACAATTGTTGAAAGTTTATTATTAGGAATGTTCGACATTCCAGAAGTTATGGGCTATATCGACTGTTTTCCTCAATTAGTCTACCAAGTAGGTAATCCCCACTTCAATCCACCTTCCAACTTCCGGTATTTTATGCAAAAAGTGTAAAGTTTATCAAATGTGGCAGACTCCATAAGCCTAAATATCGAACTGCTCTCCACTAATGAGGACTAAACACAGATGAGAATCAAAAGTCTTTAAAGGCTTGCAATGTTAGGCTCGTTCATGGGCTCCAATAAAAGGATAGGAAACAAATAGAAGAACTCGGTTGTCCTAAAGCAAAACTCAATCACATCGAAACCCACACTTTCTCAACACCAATCAACATGTCTATTATTCACCGCCTTCAACACGAATTCTTAAACTTTTGGATACCATAAATGCAGGGGAGACTTGTTTAAGGTGTACGTGGCGTTGTTAAACCCGAGTCGCCAAATACTGCTAGGCAGTTTTTCAGGCGGGTTTGGTTTCCAGCCGTATACCCTTAAACTAGGCAGCATTGTGTTCGACATAAATTTTTTTTTTTTTTTTTTTACACAACCCGGCATTGACTTGAGTGACTACCTCCTTGTTTTTATTTTTTATTTTATTTTTTTTTTTATCAACCTCCACATCATTCTTTTGGTCTCTCTCATTTTTTCTTCTCTTAACCCCCAAACTAATCTTTTACTCAATTGTACACTCGTTTCGTTCTCGGTTTTGCACTAAGACCGAATTCTCCTAAAGGTATGATAAAGTGTTTAGGGTAAAGGAGTTTACATCTGTTGTTTTCTAAGGAAAAATAAAGCACAGTTCCAATGTGCTCAAATGGGTGACTAGTGAAAATTTCAATCATGGGTTGGCTAGAAAGGCTCAAACGTTCCAAGAATCGCCTACATCATTTCCTCAACCATGTCTAATCCTAAAATTTCGCCTCAAGCATTTCTCAACTAGGTTCTAGAATCCACCAACATTATC